CGGTGGTCCTGTGGGTTATTGAGTAACTGCAAGCCTGGCACAGGCTCTTTTGGAAACTAGTGTTTTAAGAGGTTGTAGCAAACCAGGTATTAATCCCCTTCACGTGTATTTTAATGAAAATTGGCACTGTGTTATAATGACATATGATAAGACAAGTGCCTTTCAAAAATCTGTTGCATCTGTGGAGGAACAAAATATATCTTCCCATTGTAATAACATCATGTCCGTGTGACAAAACTTATTTTCTGTTAAATTGATATAGATTGACAAGTATTCTTTTCTTCTCCATTTTCTTTCTTTCCTTCAGAAATGGACAAAGAACTGATTTGGGATAAGGGAATAAACCCAAAGTATTCTCTATATAACCCTTACTTTAATTATGCTCCTAATTGTTTTCAGCTTGCCTAGCAATTGAGAAAAAATGAGTGAAGATGTCAACACTTGGTTCAGCAATGGGAGGAAAAAAAGAAAGTTAAAGAAAAAAAGATGCAATGGGCTGTGCGGTGCCCAGGGTATTCCAGTTCAAAGATTCTAAAAGGTCAGTAATAACTGCACAGTTTTGTGCGTGGGCAGAGTTTGGCTCATTACATGGCCTGAGTGTCTAAATGACACTCATGTAACACCAAAGATTAAATCAACGTGAAGCTAGCTCCCTGTCAAAATAAAAAAATACTGGTAAAGAGGAAGGAATTAAAAAGAAGTGACAAACACATTTACCGAACCTCAAGTCACTTCTCACTTTGTAGGAGAGAATCCTTGAAGTAATTAAAGGCAGGCCCAAGCTAGGCAGAGAGCATTCATAGAGAAGACGGATGCACATTTGAAAGTAAAACTTACCCATATTTTTATTGCTATCCAAATATTTAATGCTCAGAGATAGAGAAATTATAGAGAAAAGTTCAGGAACAAGGTAACTAGGCTGTAAGTACTTTAACACTATGTCTCATTCTGACAGAAAAAATTATTGTAACTCTTTATGTGTTTGCATATAGAATTCTATCTATATGTTACTTTGCTGCTTTACCGTGTATTTGTTTTTCAACAAATTTTATGCTTAATAAATTCATTTTTCAAAGTTTTTAATATTTTTCTGAAATTTAAAATTCATATTTAATACCACTGTCACATCTTTCAGTTTTTAATATTTTTCTGAAATTTAAAATTCATATTTAATACCACTGTGGCTATTTAAAGAAGATTTTAAATCTCCTGAAAGAAAATTCTAACAAAAGCCATTTCTAAAATGCACACAGGCTGCTGTCATATGTTTGGGTTCTTCACTCTTCTTTTATAGAGCTAACCATTACTATCTGCAAGAGTTCTTACTAGAATATGAACTTCCTTAATACTTTTATTTAAGTTACTATGAGACTACACATGGGGAAAAATCCAAAGGAAAAATAACTCGAGGTAAGAGTTTACTGAGGACTGTCACTTGGCTTGGTGCTCCTTCAGGGTAGTTTTGGTTATATGGATTAAAGCCTGGGAGCCTATAAAAAGCGATTAAGAAAAGAGGGTGCTTAGGAAGGAATGAGAGAGGCATGGGGCCCTGTTGGATTTTCTGAAGGAAGGCCTGCTAGCTGGTAAGGCCCCAGGTGAGGAATACGTCAACGTGTTACTTAAGGATCATTTTTTCCCCTTTGAATTTGGTTTCTATGGACAGCTCTATACTTACTCACTGGGTAAATCAGGATGCATCCCAAAGCCTGATGCTCCTACTGTTCAGACCAGGAGGTCACTGGACCAGATGGTGTTTTTCATCTCTAGGCTGTATGAACAGGCTTCCCACCCATGGCACACAGGGTCCTGGAAGCAGACTTGACACTCAGGACATGGCTGGGGCATGGCCCCGGAGAAGCAGTTCCCATGTATTGCCAGTCACAGCTACCTGAAGGGAAGAAGTGCACATGCCTGAACTCATCCAGACCTCCTGGATACGGCAGGCCAGCGACTGCCTGAAGAGTGAGTAACTTCCAAACTGTGCCCTGAGATAGGTAACAGCACTAGACTTCACAGCTGATGCCTCAGGATATGCCGATATTGTGCAAAGTCATATTGTGTTACCTGAGATAGGCCAGAGTATCGCTGTACATCACCATGGCAGTCACAGCGTCAGACGGGGATCCTAGCTTGGGTCCAAAGCCAGCACAGCCTGACCTCTGCTTCCTGTTCCAGCAGCACTAGGCTGTTCTGTGCCAGCCTGAGGGTCAGCAAACATCACCTGTATCAGCATGCCCACGAGAGAGACAGAAATCAGCAGTGAGACAGTGGTACAAGAGCTCTTTGACTACGACCCATCACTAGTTTTTGCATCTGTTAATCTTCGCAATGCCTAAAAAGAGATTTTCCTCTAAATTACAACTGTTCTGTAGTGCTACAGGGTGAAATCCATGCCAATCCCATCTGCCCTAATGACCAAGACAGTCCACCATCTCACTAATAGTGACAAACTGGCAATACAGGATACAAACATTAGCTTGTTTATAATGTGTTGTAATTGGAATGGAAATCATTCACAAATTAACTAAGTGAATAAACACAGCTTTCCAAAGTCCTAAATTAAAATATTTAATTGAAATGCTGGTCTTCCCCATTTGTGAAACAAATGTTTAAACAGGATGAAGAAAAGCTTTTGCATTTTTTAATATTAGAGTTCTAAATGTAAGAGTGACAGATGCTGAAATGCACCAAACATACTCAGTCTAGATCACAGGAAAGTATTTGTTACACTGTCACATAAGAAATCGGTGGATAAATCAGGAAGACAGTGATCAGCAGCGATTTGATATCCATTTTTAATCCTTGTTATAAAGCAGGAGGGTCACCTGAAATATGAATGAATCATCTTGAATCATCCAGCAAAGTTTCACAAGGCTTAGCACAATGACTGAGATAGACCTGAATGAAGGATGGCACCACGCGTGCTTGCTGAGCACATTACTCAACAACGGAGAAGGAAATCTTCCCTCCAGATTCCAGCGGTCCCCCAGGGCCAGATTTTCAAAAGTGCTTTAGGTATTTAGTGGTGTAAATGAGGACAAAGCATGTTTTCTTAAAATCACCCAGGCTCTTCTAAAGACCAACTCATCCCACTATTTTGGCATGTCCTAGAGGACACACTTCTCTCCACTGACAATACAGGGGACCTTGGGAGACTATCTTCTGCACACAAACGTCTACATTTGGGGTTTAAAGCTGTTTGGTGTGGTTCCTCTGACCCAGTGGCTTCTATGCAAGTTCAGTTTCTGACTCACTGAAAGTCCCACTGGCCTGCCTGCACTATCCGATACGTAACAGCTTTGCAAATTCGGCCACGTGTCCCTAATGTCACCCTCTGAAGTCGGCAGGCATCCCTATGCCCAGGCTTCCCCAGCAGGCTCTCTGCACGCTGTCAGGTGCTACCTGCTCTAGACCCGATACTGTGCGTCACTCATTTAAATCTTTTATACTATATTTTCATATGGTTATACACCACAATCACAGAATGGTTGAGGCATTAAGGTGCGTGGAGATGGCCCGGTCCAGCCCCGCTGCTCAAAGTAGGGTCAGTTAGAGTAGGTCACACAGGACCATGTCATCAGGTTTTGAGCATCTCCAGGGATGGAGACCCCACAACCTCTCTGGGCAACCCATGCCTGCACTCCACCACCCTCACAGTATGGGTAATTTTGACTTAACTCATTTTTAGGAGGTTCTGCTGCGATTGAAAGGCCAGCTGACCGCCGTAAGACCAGCGAGGGGCTTGCTGGGCGCAGTGTCACATTATTCAAAGGCTTTTTACTCAGTCACCCTCCCAGACTTGCTCCTCACCAAGGTGCACAGCGACTGTTAACACCCAGCAACAGCCGCCGCGAATTAGAAAGCGTCAGGAACGCGAGGCTTGAGCTCACCGCTTCGATTTACGCTCCTATCACCAGCACCCACTTGGCCCGGGCCCTCTCCAAAAACCCCATCACCCCCTTCAGCAACCTCAAACCCACGGACGGCCCGTCCCCTCCTTCCCCCGCCCCGCGGAAAGACGCCTCGATGGGGCGAGGGGAAGGATCGCCTCAGGGCGGTCGCGGCGGGACCTCAGGGGCG